ACTCTTTCTTAAGGCAGCTACCTCAATTATGATCATATGAAAAATCCTTACCTTCTTTCCTCGTTTTATGGCAACAATATGGCCATCCTCTAGCTGGGCTTTGTAGACCGTTCCAAAGCCTCCTTCCCCTATCTGTAAAGAAGGTGAAAAATTACGAGTTGCTTTGGCAACCTGGATCATGTTCAGATGTACTGATCCAAGTCTACTGAGTTGCGGAGACATCGAGTGTCTAGGACTAGGTGGTACACGAAATGGACTTGCCGGGATCTTTTCATGAACAGAATTCACATCAAAAGATGAAACTGAATCAGCAGTAACATACCCACGATCTGCTAGCATTAAGAGCAAATACAAAGAATTAACTGACTATTAAGATAACAACTAGGTTGGAAGGATTTAACAGCAGTGATAAGTAAAATAACTGCATAACATTGCAAATAAAACCAAATACTGCTTAGCTTGAGTAAAGCCCCTATGTCGATGTTGATATCATTAAAAGATAAAGATAAAATACAATTTGTATTCTTTAATCATACAGACATACTAATCAATCCTCAATCATCAGAATGACAAAATAAAATACGAGATAAACTCACTTGAATTTTGCTCCTTGGTAAGAGCAGTGTGGGAAGTTTCTTTTCTTTTCCTATAAAAGCAGGGACAGATGAAAACACAACAGGCTAAAACAGATCCTCCTGCTAGAATCCCGAATTGTTTTGGTGTCGACAGAAATTTGGACTCACTTTTTCCTTCTCCATCATGAGCAGGGACGGTGGATTCATATGTTGACCCCTTCGGCAAAAGTTTCCTACCTGTCTTAGAGAAAAAGTCATCAACAAAAGCAGTTGCAAAAGTGCGAGAAATTCACTTAAAAATTATGATTTCATAAGTAATGGAACTGAAATGACGTATAATATATTATGCCATACCTGTTGAAACGTAGAATTGACAATAATCACTTTTTAGGTGCTCCTCAATGTTGCAACCGTTTTCATTGTAGGTAAAAAGAGCCTCACAGAATAAATCTTTGCCCACTAAATTCCCATTTACATAGAACAGTTCATTCCCATAAGAACTAGAATAGGCAATGAGATCAGCGCAAACTTTAGACTCAATGACAAAACCAAAAATGGTCGGGAACTGAACCAGCAACAGCACACTTAACATGACAGAGCCCATTCTTGACGAGATCATGTGCTGAGTTTGTATGTTCATCTGTTCTATACTCCCCCAGTACCCGCCAAGCAAAGCCAGAAAAAGAGAATTTTTCTGACTCCCAGAAACCTTAAGATTTTAACAACAGTATTTCATACCAGTGGGATGAAAAAGCTTTTCAATCCCACTAATCTCTGGGTTCAGTGCTCTAAATTCCAATTTGATCATCACCTTGAAGCTTGAGAAAGTTCTAACACTCCCGTTTCACCAATACGAAAAACAGATAATCTTGGCAGAAAATGAGCTGGGCAATGCTACTATGTGCCCCAATTTGACAAATAAGGATTCCTTGCAGGAAAGAAGCTTATCAATGCTACTTCAACTCTTCAAATTGATCAATCCAATTTAGGCAAGCCCAATTTTTTAGTCATCACAAAGCTCAACCAAAGCTTTTCAATCCCACTAATCTCTGGGTTCAGTGCTCTAAATTCCAATTTGATCATCACCTTGAAGCTTGAGAAAGTTCTAACACTCCCGTTTCACCAATACGAAAAACAGATAATCTTGGCAGAAAATGAGCTGGGCAATGCTACTATGTGCCCCAATTTGACAAATAAGGATTCCTTGCAGGAAAGAAGCTTATCAATGCTACTTCAACTCTTCAAATTGATCAATCCAATTTAGGCAAGCCCAATTTTTTAGTCATCACAAAGCTCAACCAAAGATAAGTCAAAATATCAACGAGCTAAAAACTATTTCAATATCAAATCTGCTTTCTGACGATAGGTTCAAAGTCAAATCCCTCCAAAGCTTTCTATACAAGCAATAGCAATTTCAAGCAGTGTCCTAAAATTCAAGCAGAGCCTTCAATACCCAATTCAGAAATCGGAAAAATAAATTAAACCCAGTTGGTAGATTACCTCAACGACTCCAAAAGTGTGAAACTTCTCTTCAAACTTTTTAGCTGAATTGTTTGAAACCCAATTCTGAATTCCCAAGAGAACACAAACCCACATCATAAAGCCAGCAAAAATATCGAAACCCCAAAACTTGAGAGCTCTATTTAAGGAGCTAGATAACTTCAAATGACTTCAGCATAAGCCAAAAAAAGGAGACATAAATGCAGATTGCAGTAACAGAAACGAAACCTGAACAGAGGCGCCTGAGAATGAATTATAGCTGTCACACAAACGACATATGACTTTTTTTTTCCTCTTTTTTTTTTTTTTTGTTTTTTCTTTTTACGAGAGCTGGCTTTGATATTTTTTGCTTCGCTTGTCAAGAGAGAACACAAAGCAAAGCAAAAAGAAGAGACAGAGACCGGCAAACCCGAAGAAAGAACAAGAATAAAGAGAGAGAAAAATCAATTAATGATAAAGGCTTAACCCACGGCCGCCTGTAGCGCATTATAATATTGATTGGCCTCAAAGTTGGAACTTTGACCGTTGGCACCCCCCACCCCGACGTCATTGCTCGCATGGCTTCACAAGCACTTTTTGGTCATTTCATCGTTGTGTACAGTATTTCTTTTTTTCATTTTTCATTTTATTATTTATTTGCTAAAGAAAAAATTATCAAACTTACTCGTATAAGTCTAAATTTTTATTTTTAACTATTGATTAATACTTTTTTAATAACTATAGTTATTTTTATAAAAAAGATATTAATTAAGAATAAGTTATAATTTATATCATGCATTTTAAAAGAGTATTTGTCTCATTTATTTATTTTTTAATTATTCTTTTTCATCATTTGGTGGGGCCATACAAATTAAACGGAGAGATAAAAAATTTGGATACTAAATATCTCGTAGGTACCTTATCCTTTTAATAATAGTATTAGTCTTGAGCATACTCACGGCATTCATTTAAAATAATAATTATACAAATTATTTTTTTAAAAAAAGAGAAAAAAAGGAAAAAATATTAAAAAAATAAAGGTAAACACGGAAAAAGATTAGAAGCAAAAAATAAGAAAAAATAAAATTTAACTTATTTTATTGTGTTTTAAATTAGTTTTATTTTAAGTTTTTGTTTTTGTTTTGTTTTTTTTTTTTTGGGTAAGAAATAATAGAGGTTGTCACTGCACTTTCTGATTCTTGTTGTGTCCAATTCACAAGAGTGATTTTTTTTATTATGCCTATGAGTGACCTTTGTGTCGTGGGTGTTTTGGTCTCCATCAGTTGGTGTTCTCCATCTGTTGTAAAGGAGTTGTTGAAAGAGTCATTTGAATTCTCGTTGTAGAACTCGGTGCACATGTTATCTTTTTATGTGTTTCGTTAGAACTTACCGGTAGATTCATTCTGTGATTAGAGTTAAGTTTCCTTATGTTATGTTATGAGGTTATTGGAGTTTGCGTTAGTGTGTATCTCTTGGACGTAGATTACAAATTACCTTCATAAAAAATAAGACTTTTACAATTTTTAATGTTGAATGATTATGTCGAACATTAGATATAGTGCTTATAATAGTATTATGCATTGTAGCGGAAAATAATTTTTTTGTATTGCCATTTGCATTGCAGAGAATCTTAGAGTGATATCATAGGGGACCTTATGTCATTGAATTTTCATTACATTGAAAAGCGAATCAAATTGATCATTGATTATAGTAAAATGGGCTTCCTCGTTTTGTATGACTCAATGATTCTAAAGCCTCTTGATTGGGACAATAATGAGGGCCACATGGAAAATCCCAAAAAGTAACACTTGTTTTTACCCCTTAAATTAATGATGTTGGCACTAAATATTAATATTTTTTTGCTAAATTTTTTCCTTTCAGGAAGCACTAAATGTTATTATTGTTGCTATCACTCTTAGTATTAGAAAATGTCTTCAGTCTGATAAATGTGATATTTTTTATTAATCAATATATAATATTATTTATACGTTTGTGTAATACTCATTATGTTTTATTGTAAAACTCAATAAAATATAATCTCACGTCCTGTTACATTACACTTGTTTCAGTATTATCATGTAAAACCAAAAAATTTCAAGTCCAAATGAAAAATATTAAACTTACACGTAATCGGCTTAAGATAATGTCTATTATTATTTTTCACCTAAACGTTTACCTATATTTTATCAAAATGTGTTTATAGTGTATTTTCAGATATTCCACGATTATTTTCTATGTATTTATTTTCATGTTGAGAACCTTTATTTTCTCTAAAAAAAAAAAAATAGATAAACTTAAGATGCACAAAAACACCATTTTAACTTACTTCAAAACGCCATAAAATTGATCAATTTTACTCTCTAAAAAAATGATCAATTTGGTCAACTCGTGTTAAAAATGATCTTTTGCACTTTAATTTGACCAAATTTTATCAAAAAAACAAATAGAGCGTTCCAATACGAAATAAAAAGAAATTCAAGCGATGGTAGAATAAAAAAGCACAAGATAAAGCGTGACTTTTAATAAAACATAAAAAGTTTTAAGTACTTATCTTTGTTATGTTTTTTCTTTTCCTATTTTTTCCCTTGTAAGCTTGCTACTTATTCTTGAGACTGCCATGTGGTCGTACATAACAAAGCCAAGAGATAATAGAAAAGAGAGAGAAAGAAAGAGAAGAGGAGCCTAAAATTCTCAAAATAATAATAAAAAAAAGATTGCCTATTGTTTGTATGGGATTCCTAAGCTTGTTTCATTCATACTTTTTGCCCATCCTATCTCCATTATCATTTCTAATTATCTTCTGCTTATTCTTAAAAGGAAAAAAAATTAAAATAGTTGTATCTCTCGATTGACAAATTTGTATTCAACCGCTAATTGTTTATTTTTTTTTTTTAGGAATTTAGAGATACTTATCTCTTGTTGAGGCATGTATACATAACAAATTAAGTGGGGTTTGCCCTTTTGTTATGAGGCCTATTCAGGGTCCTCCAAGTGAAAGAACACCAAATTTTTATTTTGATTGTATATTCAACACAAATTTTTTTTCCCTCATCCTCTCCATAAAAGCAATACTAAATTGCACCTAATGTGAGATTGTTGAGACATTTTCAAGGGAATTGAATAATATTAGAGATAAGCTTAACTACATATGCTCATGTCATTGTCGTTGACATTAATGGTTTAATTCCATTAGCAAAAATAAAAGAAGCATAAACTAGTGGGTTTTACTTTTGTAATGATTATTTTTTCTCTTGGTTTTTTCGTGGAAAGTTTGTTTTCTAATAACAGTCGTCGATCGCATGTCAATACGTTTTGTGAGTTTGGTGGTGCCATGTACATACATATTTGGCTCAAGCAAGCTTACCTAAGGTCATTAATCATGTGTAGAAATAAAAGTTCAGAGTGACCCGGCCCTAAATAGGAGAGAGACGGCCAAATCCGACCTTAAAATGTTGAGAATGATGTCTTAAAAAGATGCGATATAATAAAAGATATTATTATTTATTTAATAAAAGAGAAATATTCATTATATTGTGCATGTATTATTAAATATTTTATGAATATCATTGAAAATTTCACGATGATTTATGTGACCTTACATATTGTATATAAGTGTTATATACTAAAGGATAATATTTAAGAATAATAATCAAAATGAGTCTATAATAAAGTAAATTAAACTTCAAAATCTTTAACTAAAACATTATTAATACATGTCATTCACATTAAAAATGTAACGAGCTTATCCACATCGTTGATATGAAAGGATACTGAATGAGTGTATTTTACATAATGAGAATATATAGGATTGAGACATGACACAATATGAATTTCTTATAATTTCCGTTAAATATAAAAATTCTAATTGAGTCTACTGATGGTCGTATATAGAATAATCTCAATCTTGAGTTATTAGCAGACTCCTATTTGTGGATTCGTACCTTTTGACTTACTTGGTATAGATTTTGAGATAGCTAAATCATATTCCTTGTATCTTAGAATCATGATGAAGTGATAATATATGAGATGAAATCCTATAAGTGATAATAAACAATATGAATGTTAATATACGAGATGGAATCCATTTTTTCTTCAGAAAGAAGTAGATAAATAATTCTCTTGAGTGTTGATTCGGTACTTGGATTAGCAGGAGCTCCGATTCTTGAATTTGATTCATGAATCATTATCCATTAGAGAATCAATAGTACTCAAGGATAAAGATATAATTAGAGAGGTGAACAGATTTAATTTAACTCTAATTATGAATTATTTATAGAGGAACGATGTGGCTATATTAAATAGATGTTTCACAGATGTAAATAAAAGTCTATAATATCAAGAGTGCAATTCCAAGTTTATAGTGGAGTAACTTTAGAATTAATAGAATTAATTAATTAATTAAAGAGTTTGATAAATTAATTTTATTAGAGCTTGTTATTATAGGTCCATGAACCTCAGTGATATCCTTGTAATTCTACAAGACATTAAGGATAAAATAGAAAATTTAGAATTATGGAATTCTGAAATTAAATCACTCAAAAATAATTAATTGAGAATTAATTGGATATTAAATATTGTGATTATTTGATATGTAATTTTGGAACACACATGGTGGAACCATGTGGTGTACACGTCCAGTATAAGGAAATCCCTCTTGTCACGCCCCCAAACAAGGGTTAGTGATAGGAGGCTTGTTTAGAAATTAAACCTGATTAAGAAAGTGATTAAACGATTAACAGTTCAAAATTTGATTTCAAATCCAAAATATTCAGTTATTTCCAAACAAACTCCACTATTTTAAAGGAAATTGAGTTTTAAGAAAGAGTGAGGCAAACTTTACAAAACACAGTTACTGTTAAGATCAACATCAAAGGTCAGCCTCCGGCATCCACAAGGTTTACACTTGTGCATACATAAATAAATATAAAAAAGTAAATAACTGACATCAACCACAGTCTAGTAGGATTTAAGGTTTACAATCCATAGTGAATACATGCCTTGAATAAATCTGATAATGAAGGAAAATACTTCACTGTTTCCTTTCTTCTAGAACCGAGTTCCTCACCTATTCCATGCTACTTCTAGCATCGCCTGGGTGGGGTTAAATACATTTTGAAACATAAGAAAAATGAGCAAAATGCCCAGTAGGATAAAGTTTTATAAAACTGAATAAATAAGTAACTAAAGAAAATGAAATAATCAGGCCCAAAAGAAATCAATCAGAACCAAACAACCTTTTTCTGAAAAGTAAATAAACTTAAGTTCTAGTTTACAGGCAACCAGCAAGTAATTTAATGATAAATTACTTACGACCAAAAGTAAGGCCTTATCACCACTGTAGTGGCCCGTCCGAGTTTCGAGTTCTGCCCCTAAGGATATGATCTCCATGTCCTATCTAGGCCATTAGCGGGCTTACCAATTCGCAAGATATCTTATCTTAAGAAAAG